TCCTCTTTTAGGGACATCTCAGGTGCTGGATAATGATCCCAGCCTCCACCTGAAGGGTAAGTATTGCCTGAGGCTTGAGCTAATACTAATTTCAACTTATCTGGCAAAAACCATCATTAAGATTATGGTAATAAGGAGAATAGATAACTCTTAATTTCAAGAAGTCAAGATTGAATTGTTCAAGGAAGCACACACAGGGGAGCCTGTTCCCCAATGTGACAAAAGAAAACTATCGTGGAACTTTCTAATTAAATTTTGAAAAAAAAAGGGAATCGACTGTAATTGTGATCATTGAGTCAATTTGAATGATCTTTTCCTTAGCTTTCATAATATGTGTTTCACCAGGGCACATACTGTTTTGAATTCAGAGTTTTCCTTCTCCTAGACCGGTTGCCACCCAAAGCTATAGAATCCAGTCTGTCCTGCTATTTATCCATAGCCAGAGGGAGAAGAGATGGATTCATATCTTTTCCAAGAGGATTAGCACGTAAGTGAATGTAATTTACTCTACTGGAATTTGAACTCAGCTCTCTGATTTCTCAATCAAAGCTGCAATCCATTACTCCATGTGCCTCTTTAAATTTTGAACACAGAGGAAATGAGGGTGATCATACTTTGTGGAAGTGGCATGGCATATCGTAGCTGTAAAGTTCTGAACTGGTGAAGCTTAGACTAGAGCTCATCTTAACATTTACCACAGAAACAGTGATAGAGTAGTGACAGGCTTGCAATGTCACTTCTCTGGGAAAGAGGTTGGAGTAGAAAATAAGTTCATGCCTTGTGTAAACAATTTTAAACTCTATCAAGGCTGGAATGTGAGAAGTGCATCTCCTCACATGACCTGGCTTAAAAAAATATAGCTTCGAGTCACATGAATGGAGTTAGATGAGCTGAATTAAAGAGTTTTAAGTGTTAAATGGCCATTGATGAAAAGCACTTAAAAGACGTTAATGTTATCTTGCTATAAATTTCAGATAATTGTTACCTATTGTCAGCTCTCTATTTTTTGTTTTCTGAAAGGAATATTTACAGGGGCATACACTGCATCACGTCATAATAAATTTGGTTGACTTTTCATTCTATTCTGTTTGAAATAATCAAAAGCTTAATGGTGGTTCTATTAAACCCAGAGCAAGTTAAAACTTTGCAAAATCTGACAAACAGAGAATAGAAAAGGGGTTAGCGCAAACTTCTTGTAATATTATGGTTGGATGGCTATAAGACCAATTGTTATTTCATTAATTGCACTTTCTGTAATTTAGGCTGATATTGTAATCAAAATAGGTGAGATAGATAAAAGCAAAGAGTAAAAAAAAAAAAACAGAAGTTTTTTGAGGCCAAATTATGAAAGGTAGCATTAAGCAAAAAAAAAAAGTAAAACAATTCAAATATTGTACATATCATGACAAGATGCCACAGAATAAATTAACAAGGTGTTAAGATGTTAAAAGTGAAGGTGCTAAGTACTTTATTTACATTATTCAGACTATTGTCCTCATCTTTGTCGCCATATTTATCACAACGTTTCGGCCGTTGTACACTCCAGCCTTCTCCAGGTGGTTGGAATGTCGAACTGAACCTTTTATTTCGCTCACTGGGGTAGACTGTTCTAGTTCCACATGCCATGTTTAATGGATGTCAGTTATCAGTTATCTCCTGTTAATTTTCCTCAGAAAGTTCTCCACTGCCTTAACCGGGTATTGAAACTCACACTCTTTGGGTCCTGTCACTGGATCTAACCAATGCCTTTATCCACTGTGCCATGTGTCCTTGATAACTTGATAACTGACATCCATCAAAACATGGCATGTGGAACTAGAACAGTCTACCCCAGTGAGCGAAATAAAGGGTTCAGTTCGACATTCCAACCACCTGAAGAAGGCTGGAGCGTACAACGGCTGAAACGTTGTGATAAATATGGTGACAAAGATAAGGACAATAGTCCGAATAATGTAAATAATGTTCATAATACCTCATCTCAGAAATATAGACAGGCTCTGTGCTAAGTACTCTGTTACGTTTTAAAGATTCATGATTCTATATATTTTTATATGATCCTCTCATAAAATAAATATATTTTCCAATCTATTGTCCTACTGTAAAAATAGTTTTTTTTTTTCCATCTGAAATACATGATTTCTTTTTCACGTCTTCATGTTTTCTAGAATGAGACTGACAGACTGTTTCCGCACATAAGAATTATTTTCTGAAGAGTTAACAGATTTTTATCTTTAATCCGATATATTTTCATTAACTCAAACGTTATTTTTAGTGAATATCTGTATTTGGATAGAACGTCCCATTTTCTAAACTGGTATGCCCAAGTGTTCACCCATCTAGGTACTGAACTGGATCAATGTTGCTTAACTTTACGGATCATACATGAACCTGTGTTTCAATGTGACATGGCCATCAGCCTATAACCTCCGATAAAATAATTTATACCAACTTTCTAACTTGTCCTGTGTATGACGATAAAGTACATCTGGCAGCAAAGCCTTTGATCGAATGATTAAAGGTTTTAAGGAGCCTGGAACAACCTCTTAATTACTGTTGTTCCTAGGTCCACCTTGAACCGGGGTGGTAGCACCTGTTAGGGTTCCAGCTATGAAGAATTACTGAAGTCTTCAAACAAAAACAGAACACTATGAAAGTATAAAAACACAAAGTTATAACAAAATGACCAACAATTTATCTGTAATTGAAGGTATACAATTGCATTTAAAATATTTAGATTTTGGCATTAAATAACCTATAGAGCAGTGTTTCCTTTTCCTAGACCGGTTGCTACCCAAGGCTATAGAACCCAGTCTGTCCTGCTATTTATCCATAGCTAGAGAGAGAAGAGATGGTTTTATATCTGTTGTTCCCTGGAACCCTAGAGTTCTGCAAAAGGTTGCTAGGGATTCCGCAAGAAACACATTTATGTTTAATATTAGATTTGTAATTTTGCTCTACATATACGGCATATTGTTGGAAAATCTTTGGTTATTATTTTAAAGTCTTCAACATCTTATATTATTTATAATTATAATAATTATAGGGAATGTATTTAATGATGTCTGTATGGTGTCAGTGTAAAACAACTTCACTGGTTAATGGACAGGTTAGTGTATTATTGAGTAACTCACTCAAGTATGGGGTGCATGCATGATATCCATTATATTTAACGCCAAACACCTGGGTCGTATGTGGCACAAGGCCGGTTTAGCATGGGTTATCCGAGTCCATAGGCTCGGACAAAAATATTCCCTTTGAACCTGTATAAACAGGTTCGGGGTCTGTCTACTTCCCCAGACAAAATTTTGCACTTTGGCAAAGCCTCATCCGGGTTCCTCTCTGCCAAGGCAGACAGTTTGACAGCAACGAACGGTTTGACATGCATGATATCCATATATTATGTTTACTATTGAACTACAATAAAAATATGAAAGAGTTAGATATTACTAATGGTTTATAATACTTTTATGCAAAGGTTCCCTGAAACTTGACAACTGTTTTAAGTGTTCCACAAGTGTAAGAAGTTTGAGAAACACTGTTATGGAGGTTGATATGGGGCTAAACAAAATCAATCATTCGTCTATCAGCCTACACATTCAAGAAAACTTAAAAGGGTTAAAGTATACTTGATCGTGGTTCCTTATATGAAAGTGGATGCAAATTCAAATCCTACCAGAAGGCACTGTTTAAAAAAACAGGATGTCCTACTCAAATTCAAGTATTCAAAAAGATAACGTTTGAAGTAATAAAAATATAAGACTTCTAAAATTTTAGATGTTTTAAAAAAAAATAAATGAAAAATAACATTTTCTGATTCTTTTAGAAAATTAATGTTAGTAATGAGTTTAAATAAATAACAACGACCAGCTCAACAGCATTGTCAACAATTGATTGTTTTGGTTTGGTTTGTTTTATGGCATATCCACCACAATGGGTTATTTAATGCTGACAAGATTTTTATTGCTGGCAATAATTTTTGCAAAAATGTATTGCTGCTAATATATTATTTTTTTCCCAAAAATGTATTACTGGCAATATTTTTCCTTCAAAATTATACTGCTAGTAATATTTTTCCTACAAAATTATACTGCTAGCAATATTTTTTCTTTAAAAATTCATTGCTGGTAATAATTTTTTACAAAAATGTATTACTGGCATTAAAACCTATTTTTACACTTTCATAGTATTTTGACCCCAGTTTGGAGGAATCAACTATTTGCCCATTGCTGGGACTTGTTAGGGTCCCAGCAATGGGTCAGGGTGTACATGGAAACACCAGCAATTAAGAGGTAGTTACATGCTCTTCCAAACCTCCTGATCAGAGGCCTTGCTGTCAGATGTAGTTTATCATCTTACTCAGGATGCTGATGTAGTTTGTTATCATACTCAAGACACAACAATTGAGGCCAAGAAGACAAATTTATTTATTTCATTTTTTCCAAATAAAAAAAAGTCAGGGGGTGGTTGAAACAGCCCATTCCTCTTTACTGTACCTCATGTGATACCACATCAAAGTATGTAAAAAAAAACCCCAGAAAAATCAGGATGGTGTCATAAAAATTAAATGGTCAAAAATTTCAGACCACTGAACAAAACTGACCTCTAAATTCATAGGGATAATGTCAAAATCATGTCAATCACTTTTTTAGAACTTGTTTGCAGTTTCTGTTTATACTGAAAATCACTTATTACTAAGCTCAAGTAGAGTGTTTATAGACAGGATAATTGATTGATTCATTCATTTTTTATGGCTTATCAACCCTTTGCAGGTTATTTAAAGCCAGAAAATATTTCTAGATTGTAAGAATTTGGGTGTGGGGTGCAGGGAAAGATAATAATGGTTTAGTAATACAAAACTTACTAATTAACCCATACATGGAGTGAGAAGAAATGGATGCATAACTTTCCTGAGAGTATCTGTGCATAAGTGAATATAATGAACCCAACTGGAATTGGAACTCAGCTCTCTGATCCATTACCCATTACACAACACATCCAAGCTTACAGCACCTGGTATTCACAAATGGTCACCTATCTAGGTACTAACCAGGCTCAATGTTGCTTAACTTTGGTGATTGTATAGGAACTGGTGTTTCAATATGATATGGCAATAAGCACAGTCAAAAGGGTAATGATGAACGAGATGTGGGATATAAATGAAAGAGGAGGTAAGAGGAAGTGAAGATGATCAAAAAACACAGCCTGATATGTTTTGTGCTGTTCAAACCAATGGAAACTGGGTTTTATATATAGTGAGATTAACCCATTCTTCTTCTGAAAGACTGCATATTTATCCAAATATCGCCTTCACCCAAACAATTCAAGTAAAGGTCTGGTAAGCTAAACAACATTAAATATCCTTGATATTTACTATCATCCAAAATGCTAACACAAGGCTTTGCCATTTAGATAACTTAAAAGCAGTGAAGAGATATTGGGTTGAGTCATGTAAAGAAATCCCAGGTAGCCAATTGCTACAAACAAACTACGTAATTATGGGGAACATACATAGCTATTGTTGGCTTCAGAAATAGACTTTTATAGCAACTGTATTTAACATTCAAACATTGGCAAATTCCCCAGAATAGAAAATACTGATTCAGTCTTTATTGTGATTGATTTAAACTGGGTTAGAAACTTTGATAACTTGAGAAATGTTTATATATATATATATATATATATATATATATATATATATATATATATATATATAATGAAATGGACTAAGTACAACAATTATTTTAATATATTTATTGTTTATATATTATTTTTATAGATACAAAAATTTAAGTAAATGCTCTGTTTATAATAAACAATATTAACTACATTTAGTGGGCTGAATGTCTGAGAGGTTTTATAGAAAATGTGTTCTCTGACAGGAATCAAACCTGTATCCTACACAGAACTGTCATATAGCCGAATATGCTCTACCATTTAGCTACAGAGGAAGCGTCTGGTTAGCAAGGTTGAATTATATATATTATAATGACACTATTCTATAGCTATTGTTATAACATACTATTACTTATATAACATACTTTGTATAAGGATTCTCTATAAGTAATGCTTCGGCTACTACTGTGATTCCTGTATTAGTTATTAGACTGACTGCAAATGGTTAGGTATTTACCCATGCCTCCCCACTTAGACAGGATGCGACACAAGGTCAGGTTTAACATGGGGAACCTGAGTGCATACACTCTGGGCACTGATCCAAAATTTACCCATTCCCTGCATATGCAGGGGACAAGCACTTTTTCTCAGCCAAGTCTCTATCTGTAGACAGAGCGACGATTGAGTCACCCTCATACTGAAGACAGAGGTCTTGTTAGTTGTGAGCCAGACAGCAAACTGCCTGACTAGAAACAGCTAGGTATTTACCCAGCCCCCCCACACACACACACACTGAGATGACATGTGACACAAGGTCAAAATTTCTGTAGGGAAACCTGAGCATTTCCAACTCGGGCCATTGGTCAAAATTTACCTGGTTTCCTTGGTAAGATATAATTGCAGTATTTTTCCTACTCTATTGGGTCTATTTTCCTCAACAACCTCGTTTTTGCCACATCTTCCCAGTCGACACATTCCTGACTGAAGATTTGTTCATGTCTATAAAAATAGGCAGAAAAAGTCAGACTCTCATCAGGATTGCATATAAATTCTGATATGGTATTTTGGACAGCATCTAGCATAATAGACATTGAAGAATTTATTGTTTTCTTCTGAATTATATCCAACAACATCTGTTGCTGCTTTTGTAGTTCTAGCAAAATTTGATTTTGTTGTCATTGCTATTTCTCTTGTTGTTGTTGTTGAATTTCAAATATGGAAGCCAAAGTTTTCTCCAGATTCACAAGAAAATGTTTTTGTTTTTTTTTTAACACCAACATGGTTGAAATTTTTTTAACTCCAATTACAACTTGCATGAGTTTGTGAATCCTCATTACTGTCATAAGTTGTAAGAATTTCACATCCTCATCATAATGGCTATAAATTCTGAATTTCAAATCCCTTGCTACCAATATTCTATGGCTGTTGTTATAACACACTCTTATTTATATAACGTACTTCATATCAGCATTCTCTATACATACTTCTTCAGCTACTTGCTTTGACACCTGTATTGGTTAGTCTGAAGACTGACTCCAAACAGCTACCAATCTTACCTCTGACTTGGAAGTAATGGACTAATTCATATAGTCACCAGGAGTATACTATTTACTCTACAACAATATATATATGTTAAAAAAGAAAAAAAAAAAACATTGATAGAACCAACAGACTTGCCAAAACCTAAAACTATTATCCAGATACAATCTTGAATAAAACAGACAATATTGAAAAAAGAAAGAGAAAAAACCTAAAAGCAAATTTAGCTACTCAGTAAATCCCTGAAAACCTAGTGTTGTAGTGTACATATGGACAATAATGGATATGCTCCCATTCTCATAAATACAGTAGTGAATGCTGTACATGGTCTAGAGTTGGAGATTCATTGTGGAATTCACTTGACTCATTTCTAGCAGTTGACTACTTCTTTTATATTGGCAAATCTTATATGTGTTGTTCTTGTCTGAAGTATTATCCTTTATTACCAACCTTCATGTGATTATTCTATTCAGTAACCTTCCCTAGGTTACAACACCTAGATTACCAAGACTCAGCAAAAAATGCTTACTAACATTAAATCCTATAAAAGGATGGCTCTAGTCATGACCTGAGTTACACGGTCATGCAATCTTCAAATGACTTGAACAGCTTACACACACACACATACATATTTTATATATATATAAGTTGTATGGAGATGAGTTTGTCAACCTGGGTTTCATGCTTTTGTGATCATCAGACAAACTATATATATATATATATATATATATATATATATATATATATATATATTAGCCAGCCTATTGGATGCAAATTTTTTTTCCAAAATAATGCACCAAATATTACCTTGCATCCAATATATCAGTATCATGCATGAGAGGAACATGAAAACCACGAAAAAAGTGAGGTTCGCCAGGAATCAATGCACACATAGAACTTAGGTCTGAGATTTCTGGAAGTGAGCAAACATGATATCTATAAAAATATCCCTGAAAAATTCACCCAAGAAAAAGAAATTTATGGAATTGCACAATAATTTTCCTTATTGTTTTGTAGAAATAACAGATTTTACAGAAATATTTGCTTTGACTGGTATATTGCTGCTTGCTTTTTGTTGATACACAGGTATTGGAATTTGCTTTTCTTCATGTATTGTATAAGACTTCATTTACCAAGAAGTACCATATTCCTAGGTTGTTTTTTTTGTTTACTACTATATATACCACTGTTCACTGATATCAGTAGATTTCTTTGTAACTATGATGAATTTACAGTATATGCCAATGTTGCTGTCTGAAAAACAACTAAAACAATATTCAATAAATGCATTATAAAATGTAGCAAAATTCTTCTTTTCCAAAAAGTGTCCTCATAATTAAACCATACACTACTTTTACAATAAACTGCACATGTGTGTGTTATGAAAATACATTTATTTGATTAAAATTATATGCAAAATAAATTATTATACAAAAAATTTAAATATGCAACAAAGTTAAAAAATGAATATGAATTATTATGTTACAGTGTCAGTCCTGACCTGGCATCTCAGCTTTAGTCATTTTCCCACCACTAGAACATAGCTTCCTGTGCCATTTTTATAAATATTTTATTTTAAAGCTGGAAAACATTTTTAGATTGTAAATTTTTTTTTTGGTAGGGGTAGAGATAATAATGATTTAACGATACAAGTCTTACTAATTAACCCATAGCTAGGGTAGAAGAGGTGGATTCATACCTTTCTCAAGAATATTTACATGTAAGTGAATATAACGTACCCAGCTGAAATTAGGACTCAGTTCTCTGTTTAAAAATTCTGACCCATTTACACCACCTGCACATCCAAGCATACAGCATCTGGTATTCCCAAGTGTTCATTCATGCAGTGACTGACCAGGCTCAACATTACTCAACTTTGGTGATCATACAGGAACTGGTATTTCAACATGATACAGCCACAAGCTGTCCTATTGTGCTAGTTGGCTGTGACCCTACAAAAAGATTTTATCCGCCCTTTGACAGGTCTTGTTTATAATCCTGCTTAGTGTCTAGCCACTTTCCACACCAAAAAAATCTCTTCTCACTTACCTTGAAATGTATCTCTTCACCAATATTAATGGATACAGAGCAGTTAAATATCAAGAGCTATTCTAATTAAAATCTTAAACTTACTGAACAAATGCAACAATTCAGATAATCCTGATATACTGACAAAATTCCTGGAAAACAAAAGCTGTTTGATTGATGCTTACAGAAGAGTCTAATGAAACAGACTCCGAGGATTTTTATTTGCATTCTTTGTCTCTTGTAGTATCAATCTGAGTGCAGTCATTTGTAAAACAATCACCAAACAACTTATATATTCTCTTCATTAACAGTTTAACCATTTAAAATTAACCATTTAGCATTTACCATTTAAACAACTTATATATTCTTACCATTAATAGTTTTCTTTGCTGCTCTTGAAACTAAAATGCATGAAAAAAAACTAATACAAATTTTGACAAACATTTACATTTTGAGTCACATGTTCTAAATGATGCATGTCCTGGGTATGATGATAAACTACATCCAGCATCAAGGCCTTTGATCAAGAGGTTTTGAAGAGTGTGGAACCCCCTCTTAATTATTGTTGTACCCAATGACTTGGGGTGGTAGCATCTGTTAGGGACCCAGCTATGGGTAAATAGTTAACATCCCAAACTGGGGTCAAAACACTATGAAAGTATAAAAATAAATTTTTATAGTAAAAATACCAGCAATACATTTTTTTGTAAATGAAATTATTAATGTTCCCAAGAAAATTAAATTTTGGCATTAAATGACCCATAAAGTGTTGATATGCTGTTAAACAAACTGATTAAATGACACATTACTAATTCTTTCAGTTAATTGAATATCTGGATATTGAGAAACATAAAGACTGTTTTAAATACAGTGCAACCTTGGTTCTCGTATGTCTCACATGTCAAACAAATCAGTTTTCGAACAGAAAA